AAAGGCATGTCTCTTCATTTGAACGCTCACTCGATTCTTAAGAGTCCTAGAACGAGCAAACGAATAAGGCTATCTACAAAAGAGTTGGAATGCGAGACGAAAACTCGCGAACCTTCCTCTACATTCACACAAACGAAGGCATTCTTCTCAAAACAAAAGAAACCGTAAACTAATTGTTCATTCACTAAAGTTTCAAAAGCAACAGGGATTCAAAGCTATAACGGCCAGTCCCAAAATAAAAACACGGCCATACTTGGCCAAAACACAAAGATCTAAAATAAAAGTCTCACACAAGACTACAGCTTCAAACATCCGCCGCACACAGAGTCTCATCCTCACCCATCATCTCATCAGAACTCTGAATTATACCTTCACCGCCTTCTTCAACCTCTAGGGCCTTGCTCTCGTCCATACTCGGCTTAGGAGCACACTCGGATCCCAGGCCAGCGAGAGCCAAACCGAGGTCGCCCTCCGTCTCCATTAATTCTGAATCGGCAGGGACACTCTCCTTGACCCATTCAGTCTCACGGATCGTCGATCCCTCAATACTCTTGATCTTGCGTTGAAGTCTCCGCAGATCCGAGGCTTTAGCCTTCTTAGCATCCTTTGCCTTGAGCAAGGAACTTGCATTCTTCCCAAGATCCCGCTCCAAGTCACTGATCCTAGCCTCGAACTGAGACACCTCCACAGAATGCGCGTCTTCAATCACCTTCAACTTCCTTTCGAGCTGAGCGGACCTTTCTTGTGACTCGGCTAGTTCCTTCGCCAAACGTTCGACCCCAGACCCACACTCGTTAATCACTCCATCGATTAACGAGAGAAACTGAACAACAATATAGACGGTCAGACACCAAATTTTCGTTTAAAAAAAATACGTTAAAGGTGTATTCGCAAATCCGTACCTTGGCTCGATGCTGCGACATCAGACCAGAGCTCAGCACCTTGTTCGATGAGGGACCAGCATCGGAACGTTTCGTACATCTCCTCTTTTTGGCCATATCGGGGTTTGTGCAAAGTCTATTGCGACCTTTGGCCGAAGAAGCCTGAGTCGCACTAAGCGCCGGCAGCCCCAAAACGATCACTCTCTTGGCCGGAGGAGAAGGCTTTGGAACCACAGCTGGTTCGACCTCTCTGAACTTCGGGACTACGATCGGATTCGGAATCACGACTGGCTCAACCTCAGTAGGCTTTGGGATCATGCCTATTTCAACCTCAGAAGAAGTCGGGATGGCGGATGAACTCGATGGCTCGACACTGGTAGTCGCCGAAGGTTCCGTAGCAACACTCGCCGATATGTCCGGAACGATTTCACGAGCAATCGGATCTGTTGGGATTGCACGAACTGGGCTCGTCGCTTCTTCAGCATCCATCTCTTCCTTAAAAGAAAGGAATTCTGAGATGTGAGGGTCCGGCTGGCCTGCTGTGGAATTGTCGCTGACCAAGACATCATGGTTTTGATGATCATTATTGGGAGAAGACATCTTGACAAGAAAATTTCTTAGTGAGAAGTTGGAGGAAGTTTAAGAAGGTTAGGATATGTGAACAGAATGAGAAGTGATGATCCAACACTTATAGAAAAAAAGGAGGAGTCCGTTTTCCACAGTAAAAAAAAGAGACAATCGCAGCCGCAGATTCCGATTAACAACTCTACTCGCCCGCAAGAATTTCCTTTAAACTTGTGATCTGGGGGGCTAACTGTTGGGGTCAAAAAGGGTAATCTGAAAATCAACATCTACGATTACTTCTCCTTACATTCTTCGAAAGGATCTCGGGTGAAGAAAAACGATCGAAACCAAACTACCGTCCAGCTCACCAACAAGCGAGCTGGCCCTGCCCGACCAGCTCGCCTATTGGCGATCTAAACTAAACCATCAACGCCCCTCGACTCGATCGTACTGAATTTTGATCGTAACGTCTCTCGTTTCGTCTCAATCCGCCTTACCATTTGAGTTTTACGATAAAAACCGCAAAAGACGTGTTTTCTCGTAAAACCTTGAGTAAATCGTATAAAACGGCAACGGTTGAGCGAAACACCGAACATTGCCAAACTATACGATTAACTCGAGATTTATTATAAAAACCGTAAAGTACGTGTTTTCTCGTAAAATCTCGAGTAAATCGTATAAAATGGCAACGGTTAAACGAAACACCGAACATTGCCAAACTATACGATTAACTCAAGATTTTTTATAAAAAACCGCTAAAGACTTGTTTTCTCGAAAAACTTCGAGTAAATCGTATAAAGCGGCAATGGTTAAACAAAACACCAAACATTGCCAAACTATACGATTAACTCGAGATGTTTATTAAAAAACTGGATCGTATCAGGAAACGATCCTATCTAAAGTCATAAAATGGCTAAATCGCAAAATGGCTCGGAAAGTCTTAAAACGCAATAAAAGCCCACTCGCGACTTTAGAAAAGATCCAGCCCGAAGATACGATGACGATTTACTCATTACCCGCAGGAATGGGTAAATGTCAAGTTTGAAGACGAAAATAGAAGTTTTCCGAAGAAAAATGGAAAGATCGAGAAAAATAGAAGATTTCCGAACGAACGCGAATCGCAGCGGAAAAGGAAAGATCAACCGCCTAGAGAAGGAGTATATAAGCATGAGGTCGATATCAAGAGGAGGCAGAGTTTTTAGACCTAGAAAAACTGTTGTTAGCTTAGGCGAATTTAGGACTTAGGTGGCTAGACTAGCAAGTCGGATTCTTAGAACGTTTGGTTGTTTAAGTTCCGCGATTCTCTTTGTAACAGCTTTCAATCTCTTTATCAATAATAGCCTTTGCACAATTTCTTCATCTGTATTCTCTTATCTTTTTCGTTTTAAGTGTCTTTCCGCTGAGATCCAGAACCTCGGGAAAATTAGGGTTTTCCCTAAGTTTCCATATTTGACGGAAAATTGATAGTGTGAATTTCGGTTCCCACAACTGCATCACTCTGAACCTCCGTATGAGATCCATTTCTGGCGGTACTGCTTGCGCTATGCTGAAGAACTCTTGTAAGCTTTTTCTCTAATTTTCTGCATAATTCACTTTTTCCGAGAAGTGAAACTTAGAAATTGCATAGTCTGGGATTCGAACCCCAGACTTGGGTGTAGAAGCCTTAAAACCTTAACCACTAGGCCACAGTGCTTCCACCTTCATAACCTATTTAAACCCTAAATCTAACAATAGAATTACTCAAAAATAGCTAAGCAATTCGTAATAATAAATAGAATAGAAAACTACATAAATATAACAATCGGGTTCTAGTCACAAGCTTGTAGAAGTCTTGAAAATTTCTCTCCAAAACTCTCTCTAACTATTCAAGGTATTTAAAACAAGAATAACAAAAAGCTCTCTTTTGGCGGCAACACATGGCAAAGTTAATATACTTAGGTTAAAACTCGTCAGGGGTAATATTATAATTTGGTGAAGATTTGGGCTTTATTGTCTAAACCAAAATCGTGTCTCTGCATTTTAAGCCCATCGATCGATGTCACGAGGTGTGCATCGATTGATCATGATCTCTCAATGTCTACCTCTCAGCCTGCTCGATGGTCAGCTCGGGTGAAATTTCTTTTGTCTCCAAAAGGACTCCAAAATCACCACTTTCTTCCAGATCACTCATGATCCTATAAATATGCTATATAGATTCTAAAATATACTAACTAGATCATAAGACATTTATATACCATGACTGAAAATGAGTAAAATCCATGGAATATTAGAACACCTTAAAGAACCTGTATCAGACTCATGAAAATGTATGATTGATGGATCATGAACACATGACGCACTCTTCAATGGTTGTAGATGGACATGGAATGACTCAATCGGCGAGATTCAATTCTTGGGAGCAAGGAACCAGCAAACAAGAATCTCACCCCTCAGAGTTGGAGGCTCTATTGTGGTCGATGGAGTGCATGCTTCAGGTTTTGACGTGTCAAACGTTCGGAATAGACTGCAAGAAACTAGTCTCGATAATTTAAGATCCAAGAACATGCCAAACTTTTCCACAGAATTGAAGGACTTTTCAAGACTGAAGAATATGTTTACTGATTTCTCAATTTCTTTTATTCCTCATGCTAGTAATGTAATGTCTTGATTTCTTAGCTAAGATATCGAGATTCTTTTATGAAAATGTATGGTTGATAGATTATAATGGTTGTTCTGTTCCGGTCTGGTTTCCTAAACCACCTCAAACTTGAGCAAAAGAATGGTCGTTTGACGAAAAAAAACAATAGAAGTATGAAATCTGAGAAAGGCGAATGAAGCAATACAATTAAATTAAATAGATTATTCGGTTTATAAATTGGGTTCTTGACATATCAAGAATCATTCGTGACAAAAAAAAAACGCATATCAAGAATCATAGTTCATTAGTAGCCAAAAGATGATGTGGACTTTTAACACTCAAATAAATAATCCTCCCAAGATTGAGTATAAGCTTCGAATACTCATTTCACCAAACTTTAATGGATTTAAAGCGTGAGACCACTTCGACTGGCCAAATAGGAATTGCAAAGCAATTTCACATTTGAGGGAAATTAATCCTTCATCTAAACCTACAAGACAACTCCTCCCTAAATGGTAACTACTAGACCACCACCATTTGCTTTAATTATCTGATCAATTTTCTTGATTACATTGCAAAAAACATATATCTAAATATTCTACACAGCCTACATGTCTACAATATGCCTCTCCTTTCCAAAAACTTTAACTAGACTTCCACATTTTTTACTACTCTTCTTATTCACGACTTGTATTCCGCAGCTTTATTTTATTCACCAATTTTTTTTCCTTGCAAAGAAAAAAAAAAGAAACGTAAATAGAGTAAGATCCAAAGAAACGGCAATAATGTGATCTAACCACTCAAGGAAACTCAATACGAATGTATTCCAAATAAATCGTCTATCCATACATGCATAACAGCATAAGTAGTCCCTTTATGTGCGTGCTATTTCTTAGCTCTGTAAACTCGTGTTTAACTCTCTACATCTCTCTTCAGAAATGAAGCTCTCTCTTCGTTTGATCCCAGCCATTCCCCTCTTGTACATGCTCCTTGTTGCGACAGGTTTATAATTCATATCACCATGATAGTTCTAAATAAAAACTCATGTCAGTATGTAATCATCTACGTAATATATGATATTACTGAGTAATCTATGACCCATATCCTACCTAATATTCGTCAGTTTTTTCTTTTTGCAATAGTTATTTACATTCTTGTATATGATTACTTTGTGTTATGTACCTTTAGGGATGGGTCCGGTCACGGTGGAGGCACGCATGTGTGAAACGAGTAGCCAGTTGTTCAATGGACTGTGTCTGAGCACAACCAATTGTGCCAATATTTGCCAGAATGAAGGTTTTCCGAATGGTGACTGCCAAGGATTCCGCCGTCGATGCATCTGCAATAGACCATGTTGATGAAAGCCAAGTTACAAAGGAAAAAGACAGACAATGTTGATCCATGATCATTTATGCTGTTTTTTTCTATTTTATCCTTAATCTTTCAAATGACCTAAGGGGGTATAAATCTCGAAAGCCGTTTAGTTTATGTATGGGAAATTTGGAGCAATAACTATAATAGAACAAAATTTTAAGAAACTATATATAAGAAGACGTATGCTACGATATAATACATATTATGATCAGAATTGAAAATTATAACCTTTACCTGCGCGTGAAAGGTGAAAAGATCATCTTCTTTACCCTGCAACGAAAAGTCATTTTATCTTAATCCATATTTTCATTCAAAATAGTGACATAGTGATTTAGAGAGAGCAATTAGGATAGAGCGATTGGGAGTCTCGTTTGTTTAGGGCAAAAAATTAACCTTCGAATCACATGATTGTGTAGGAAGAGGAGATGGAGGAACAAAGTTAGGGTTCCGGCGGCCTTTTAGATTTTCCGAATTTCAGCAAACAAACAAGGTAAGTCCCGACTGACTGAATAGAATAAGGTACCACAACGTTACTGGTGAGGTCAAGAGTAAATCAGAAAAAGTTTCTTTTGTAGATTCAATGTTAATTATCTCAAAAACAAATGTTAATTTGACTTCATTGCCGAAGATTCTTTGGGGTTTTTTAAAGGATGATGGGGAAACTATGTGAGTCTAATATTGTGTGTTTTAACGAATATAGAATGAGGATTCATGAGTGTAAGGGAAGAAGATGAAGTCGCTGTCTATTCTATTTGGGAAATGTTAATAGTATAGTAGAAGTTTGTTGTTTATATCTATTTGATGCAATGGCGGGTTACACCGCATATGATATGTGTGTTAAGTTGGCTCGGTGTGAACTGTGTATACTATATGGGCTACATGTGTAGTATATTATATATACAGGTTATTGTTAATGGAGTGCATACGTGGTGTTTTGTTATAATGTAAGCATGTGTAAATAACTACACTAATAGGTAACAAAGTATAGAATAGTAGTTCTATCATTCTTTGTATAGAAGATCATATCAGAAAGTCGGTTTATTTGTGTGCAGCTCTAGGGAAACGGGTATCAAGGCTGCGGAGAGAAGGTATGGGAAAAAAGGTTTGAATCTTGTTTTTGATAAAGTTAGATAGTAGATGCATGTCGGGTTCGCTGTTGTAGGCATCGCTTTATAGAACCCAGTTTGGTGATTCGTGTCTGTGAGATTAATTGATGTGATGAGGAAATTCAGTAGACTATAATTGTGTGTTTATAGTATAAAACCTTCTACAAGGATATTTATTATTACTTACATGCTTATAGTATAGAAATTCATGGGTGGTAACCACATGTATATGTGAAATATTTACTTTCATTGTTTCGTCTTCTAAACTGGCAAGTGAAGTAGGTTGTTAACTTGAATACGTTGTTGCTTTTCTTATATAGTGGTTGTCTGAATTAATGTTGATCGGATACATGACTATACTATTGGTGAACATATATAGTATATACCGATGTTGTTCTACACCAGCGGTGTAAGAGGAAAAGCATTGGCGCTAAATGTTTATAGTGTAGTCATACATGTTTAGTGCCATCATATAAAAGAAACATATTTCTTATCCGCTCTTCCGCTACTATAGTGTCCACCGAAGTAGGTTAGGTAATCTGAATAGTTACATTTATGTTTCTTTTGTACCATTTTCACCAGTTGTTTGTACCCAAACTTGTTTATATATTGGTTCCATTACAATGATGTTGTTAACGAGCCTTTACATGTATAGTATGGAAGAGTTCGGCTTGCTAGAGTGCTTGTTTGAGACTGGGTTCGAACCTACCAGCCGAAAGAGAATAAACAACTACTTCAATTTGAGATGGATAGAGCTGATAAAAAATGTGCTTTCTGATGCTACTCCAGAAAAACAACACTCTGTCCTCTGATCAAGCCTCAGTCGATGCCTGTAACAGTACTGTGGAAGAGAATGAGAAGCTCAAAACTGAAGTTCTTAAGTTTGTGGAGAGAGAAAGATTGTACCAGCAGTGTATTGTCTTTTCTTGGTTTGGGTTTTTTGTTTGCGCTGGTATCATTCTCCAGATTCTTTTCAACTAAGAAATTGAAGCATGTGCTTCATCAGACCTCCTCTTATCCTTGTTTTCACTATGTCAGCACGTTATGTATTAAGTTATGCTCTAAAATAATGAATGTACTTTCTTGCAGTTGTTTTCGCTAGTGTTCTATGTCCCTTCATATACTCTTGTTTTTAAAACCTTAACTCTCCCTATCATAACAGCTCCGCTAATGCAGTATTTGTGTGAATTGTTGTCTTAACAAACTATTCTATATTTCTAGTAGTATATACTGTGTGTTTCCTTGTTTTTTTTTCTCACTAAAAAACTATGTCTAGTAGTATATACTGTGTGTTTCCTTGTTTTTTTTAACTATATAGTTTTTTTACTTTGGTAACCCGTACTTTGGCTCCTTTTAAACATGCCATCATAATAAATGAATTGTTTTTTCTTCAACCAGAAAATTTTGATAACCCTCCACATTCTACACTATATCACCGATAGTATACACTTCTGTTTTTACACCCGCATTTCCCTTATATGCATGTTGTTAGGCCCAAAATTGGGCCCATTAATTTCAAGTAATACGAGGTCCATCACAAGATAGAGATAACTATTGGGAAAATGAGCCCGTGAAGAACCCATCAAGTAAGGCAAAAATAAATGTTGGACCCAATGTTCGTAGGAAATTAGTGCCCATACGTTATCACCATCAACTTGAAAAGATCGAGCACAACGAGCTCGAACTATTATTCCGAAGATCGCGGAAGAAGTTGGGAGAGAAGAAGACTATAAAAGAGGAGCTAGAGCAGAACATACGGAGACAAAAAACCCTACCGCAAATCACTACTCTCATCGACCTCACTCCTTTAGTTAGTTTGCTATTAACATCGATCTTTCTTTGTTGTTCTCGATCTTGTTTTACTACTTTGTATCAAATCTCATATTCAATAAAGTCCATTTTTGTCAACCGAATTTTGATTGTATCGTTGTGTTCTAAGAGCATCGTTGCCCACATCACTTGTCTTCCCTAGGTTAAACTCTTAATCACTACATAATACTTAGTGTGGATATTAGGATCTACACTTGTTACCTTATATATGTTACCTTATATACCTTATATAGTATAGTATAACATTTTCAAGATTTTTATGTTCTCACCTTTTATAATTTTTATCATATTGTATTGGAGTACACTTTAGAGCCTCCAATACACCTATACTTTTGGTGTTTCTCGCTTTTCCGGTGCCTATACTATATCATATATATTATAATATAGTGTTTCTAATGGGTCATATCCATACATGCCTCTGTTGTTTCTCCATAGAGGAAATGTAGTAGATGTGTGCAATGTAACTTTCTCATCTATACAATAGTCTTATTTGACCTTGCATATGTACGCCGGCGATTTACTCTCATGGTATACCCTTCCTCACGCACTTGTTCCTACTTGGCCTTGTTTCCTATACTATATACCTGATAGGAAAGTACTTCCCCCCCCCCCCCAATTTTCCATAGGAGAATCCTCGTTTTGACGTCTGTTGTCACGCATTTTGACGTGTTGTAATATAAGTGTTATGAAAAATGGTCGACTCGCTTCTTAATGACGCGCACACGAGTGAAAGGAGAAAACCGTCTAGAAGTGGCGTTAATTGTTCCATCACTTTTGCTATGCTTAGATTCTTCATTCTTGCTTCTCTTATGAATATTCAGCAAAATAATCCTTTATGTATTTATGTTTTCTACTGAGGTTAATTTATAATAACAAAGTTTAGTAGGTTTTAAGTTTTATAAACTGTGACTCATTCATTGACTGAGACTTATTGATTTGTGCATCTCTGTGCAACAGAGGATGTATTCAATCTAGAAGTTGGGGATTTAATTTTTAGTAAGTTTTTAGATGGTTTTATATGAATGGAGAATTTACTATACCTTTAGTTAATCAGTAAAGAATCTCATTTAAAACTATGAAATTTGGTCTCTTATTTTTATTTTAGTTATGAAATTCCCCAAAACACCTTTAAAATTATTAAAAGAATCATAAAATTAAAAAATAATTTATTCCTAGTAATAGCAAATTTAAAATAATTTAATAAATAACAAATAATAACAGTAAATTAAAATAGAAATTTTAAATTTAATGCTTAAAAAGTTGATTTTCATGTTAATTTAATTTACCACAAACTTTAGGTTGAATATATACCATGTATGTCTAATGATATCCATAGACGTGACCTTATAAAATTTGAGAGAATTACATTTTGTATGTCTATCAGAACAAAAGCCCTAGCTCATCATTAACAAAAACAGAGCAAAATTCTGTGGAAGATGCATGAAACAAAAGAAATGGAGCATAGTCCAATCCAAGTGTTTGCAAACAAATGTCGTCATACAAACGAGTTAAGCGAACACTTGCAAAGCATCAAAACACCACAAATTGTCGGCCACTAACCTATTTTCTTTAACTGACTGAAATGGATAAACGTTGCTGCAATTATTATTGGGCATATAGCTATAGTTATCATGTAATAGTTGTGTACTGAAATTATAAATATATATGATTAGTTTTAGAGTTTTGTGTATAAAGTTAAAAAGGTATATTTGTAAAGATTAACAGAAATAACTAAGAAATTTTCAGATATTCTTTTACCAAAAAAAAGAAAAAAAAAATCAGATCTTTTATCATATTAGAGTTTGGTTAGAACATGATTAGTGTTCATCAATTACTGTTCATCAGTATTATTCTTCAATGTTGTTCATCGATATTGTTCGTTGAGTACTATTTATGCAGTTGTTGTTCATCATGTACTGATCATTGTGTTGCTATATTCATTGTGTTATTGTTCATGTGAACACTATTCACGTATTTATTGTTCACAAGATTTGAATTGAAGATTGTCTGTGGTATGATTTATTTGATTGTGTTGTTCGATTGATTAT